TAATTAATAAACAAATTTTGAATTGTGTTAATCTTTTAGCACTAATTGAGCACTAAATAATATGCTATTGATAACTATTTTGTTGGCGTTTTTAATGTGTTTTTCGTAATGGTGCGGATAGCGGTTCGCTCACTCATTTGAATAAGTTTTTCTTTTAAATAAATAATTAAAAAATTTTTTATTTTCTTAATCTGCGAACACTATTTGAGCACTAAATTATAGGCTAAGAAAACGAATTATAAAACGAATTTAAAACATTTTTAACGTGTTCACTCTTTCGAAGAAATGTTTTTTATAAATAAATAATTAATAAACAATTTTTTATTGTGTTAATATTTAAGCACTAATTGAGCACTAAATTTTAGGGTATTGATAAATATTTTGTTGTGATTTTTGACGTGTCTGTCGTAATGGTGCGGTTGGCGGATTAGTCACTCAATCGAAAAAAAATTTTTTTTAAATAAATAATTAATTAAAAAATTTTTTATTTTGTTAATCTTTGAGCACTAATTGAGCACTAAATAATAGGCTATCGATAAATATTTTGTTGGTGTTTTTATTGCGTTTTTCGTTATGGTCTGGCTAACGGATTACTCACTCATTCAAAAAATTTTTTTTTTTTTAAATAAATAATTAATAAAAAAATTTTTTATTTTGTTAATCTTTGAGCACTAATTGAGCACTAAATAATAGGCTATTTATAAATATTCTGTTGGCGTTTTTAAAGCGTTTTTCGTTATGGTCCGGCCAGCGGAACGTTCACTCAGCAGAACCATTGTTTTTTTTAAATAAACATTGAGCACTAAATTCGGCAATATGGTACAAAAATAGCACTAATTGAGCACTAATTAATGGTATAATTTAAATTCATTTTTATAAAAGTGGTTCGGCCAGCTTCACAGACCTGTTTTAATTTTATGGTAACGACAAATTAGAGCAGATTAATGTTGTCTTTTTTCGAAATTCAGTTCGTGCGACTTCATTAGCCCAACGAATACCATTCCCTAGTTTGTGTCATATGCCCATTAATATCTATGCTTCAAACTACATGTGGCATTTAATACTGATTACGGATCAAATATGCCTATCTGGCACCTGTCCTTCTCTGTGATATATAGCTTTGTGAGACTCACACATTTCGTAAATGCAACACATATATATCGATATATATATATATGTATACATATATATATATATATATATGTATATATATATATATATATATATATATATGTGAAATGTCATTTAAGCTTCTCAATATTCATCAGCACTATTCGCCAACATTAATTAAACTCATCCAATAGTCGTATTTGTTCCTCTAATTATTGACAAAATTGTCCTCAATAAATATATTTGAAAATATAAAACCCAAAATATATGTATACATACATACATATGCATATGTAGAAAGAGAGAAAGAGAGAGAGAGAGAGAAAGCTTTGCTTAAAATCCTATTAAAGGATTTCATCCATTATGTACACATATTGAAGATATATACTCAAATATGATTTATTATATCCACTTCATTATTTATGTATGCAATAGGCAAAATTATTGTTGAATCAAAGATTTAATCGCTATTTGAATTTGTCAAATTACGAAACGATTAATTGACATTAAAACGATTATTAGTATAGACATTTTTTCGCACTGCAAAAAGAGCAGGAATTTTTTGACTTTGTGTGTTCTTCAATAAGGAAAATAAAGTAAAATATCGAAATAAAGAAATTATTCCTATTATTTTCTTTGTAAAGTTTCTATTTGAAAAAATTTCACTCGAATAGTCAGTCATATTATTCTGTCAATCTCTTATTCGAAAATCTAATGTTTCTGTCAATTATTTTTTCGATTAATTAATTCTAAGTAGATAAAAAGAATTTTGGTAAAATTAAAGAATCGGAAAATCAAAATTGGGATCTATTTATGCGCCTCAGACTTTTATTATTCATTGAGTTTAGTTTTAAGTAGTAAAAATCAGTATAGTCAGACATCTACTTATTATTTATTTCTTCAAGTCTATAGTTTTAAGTAGTATGAGTAAATTTAATTATACAGAATTTTGATTATTCTTCGTGTTTAATTTTTAAGTAGTAAAAGTCAATTTAGTCAGACAGAATCATTTTTCTTCTTTTAAATTATAATTTTAAGTAGTAAAAGTCAATTTAGTCAGACAGAATCATTTTTCTTCTCTTAAATTATAATTTTAAGTAGTAAAAGTCAATTTAGCAATACAAAATTGACTTTTACTCCTTAAAAGTTTAATATAAAAGAAGAAAAATTATTCTGTCTGACTAAATTGAATTTTACTACCTACTTAAAATTATAATTTAAAGAAGAAAAATTATTCTGTCTGACTAAAATAATTTTTACTACTTGAAACTATGAATTGAAAGAGGGACAAATATTCTATCCCACTAAATCTATATTTTTACTACTTAAGACTAATCTCAAAAAATAATAAATATTCTATTTGATTAAATCTATTTTTACTACTTAAAACTTTTAAGTAGTAAAAATAGATTTAGTCGGACAAAATGTTTGATTTTCTTTAAATTTATAGTTTTAAGTAGTATGAGTCAATTTAGTGATACAGAATTTTTATTATTCTTTGAGTTTAGTCATAGAAGTAGTAAAAATAGATTTAGTCAAACAAAATATTTGTTATTTAAAATTATAGTATTAATTAGCAAAAATCGATTTAATCAAACAGATTTTTATTATTCTTTGAGTTTAGTTTTAAGTAGTAAAAATTAGTATAGTCAGACATCTACTTATTATTTCTTTCTTCAAATTTATAGTTTTAAGTAGTATGATGTCTTTAATTTTTAAATTATCTTCATTAATTAAATTAAGTCACAAAAAAATTTGAATTTTCATTGCTTTGTTAAAAATTAATATAATTCTCCAAATAATTGAAATATTTTAATGTTCTTAGGCTTAACACGATATCAGTAACAATTAGAATATGTTATTTGTTAAAACTTTGATCAGTTTGTTGAATAGGTAACAAATGTTTAAGTTGTTACAAGGGAAAAAAATTATTTACCTCTAAAAATAATCAGCTGGTACAAAATAAAGTAAAAAATAAAATAATCACTAAAATATAATAAAAAAGTGAAAGTAAAAATAGAAAATGTAAACATATAATAAAAAATGAAATAATTACAGTAAAAAAAATTTTAAAGCATACTCAAAACATCATTTTTATATTAAAATTAAATTATTATTATTATTATACTATTCCGGAATTGTTCGTTTAATACTTAAACTTTATTATTATTATTAAATATTTTCATTTTTAAACTCGTAATTAACCTACGTTAATTACAAGAACGATTTAATTTAATTATCTAAATATTATTATACAAAAATTTTAATTTTTAGATATTTTTATCATTTATCGTATATATTACGTTATCTTGTAATTTATTTTGATTATGAAAAATTTCTATACATTTTTTATTTCATATCATTATAACTGAATCTGACAAAATGTCAAAGTCATTAGCATTGATCGTAGCCGTCTTTATATTCCAACTACAAAGTAGCTTCACATTTGTAAATTGATAAAAGTAATTTAATTTTATTGACAAATACAAAATAAACGAGATTTACTTCCTTTCTTTTTGCAGTAAAATATTTTTTTCCATTATCATTATTCTATTTTATGTGGAATTAAATACCTTTGTAATTAATTATTAACTTCAAAAACAGAAATTATTAGAATTAAAAGAATACACTGTAAAAAAAGGGAGTTAAATTTTAACTCCCACGGGGGGTCTATAAAAGTCGCACCCATTGGAGAGTTAATGCGAGGGGAGTTAAATAAAGAGAGTTAAAATTTCACACCCAAATGCTAACTCCCCAAGGAAAAAATAACTCGCGCGGATGTTGAATGAAGGGAGTTAGAAATTAACTCTCTTTTGGAGTTGATTTTTAACTCGAAAAATTTCACACCCAACTCCCGAGTCCGTTAACTCCCTAAATTTTTTACAGTGTATGAATAATTTACAATTTATTAATTTTCAATACGAAAATAATTTAATATATTAATAAATACAAATATTTTTATTTTTTATATTTTATACATTTTGAACAAATGTTAATTGAATTTGTGCCTTCAAATATTAATTACATGCATATTTCAAATTCATTGTTGTAGGGAATTCACTTTGTACACTGTAAAAAATTTAGGGAGTTAACGGACTCGGGAGTTGGGAGTGAAATTTTTCGAGTTAAAAATCAACTCCAAAAGAGAGTTAATTTCTAACTCCCTTCATTAAACACCCGCGCGAGTTATTTTTTCCTTGGGGAGTTAGCATTTGGGTGTGAAGTTTTAACTCACTTTATTTAACTCCCCTGGCATTAACTCCCCAATGGGTGCGACTTTTATAGAATCCCCTGGGGAGTTAAAATTTAACTCCCTTTTTTACAGTGTAATTTAAAATTGGTAATAATGAGAACAATAATTTAAAAATTTAGTAATTTGTTTTATTTTATAACTTTTTGAATAATGATGCTAAATAACGTTTAGTATAGAGGAAAAATACGATTGAATTACTTTTTATGCAATAAAATAAAACTCAAATGTATCTCGGAAGTAAATCAATCTTTGGGAAAATATGGTATCTCATAAGCGAACAAATTTTTATAGGTCTGTAAAAATTTGGAAAAATAATGTCGTACTTTTGTCAAAATTTAAAAAAATTACTCTGAAAAAGAATTTGTTTTTACGCCATAAATGCTAATTATATTATATTGATAAAATTAATTACAATTTTTTTGTTTTAATACTATTATTAGATTATAATTTTAAATTTAATATTAAAATTATGAACACTATGTACATTTTTTTTTCTCTTTCTTTATTTTAATATTAAACTCGATATTATTAAATAAAAAATTTATTTTTGAACAAAAGTTCATTTTTTAACAAAAATTTCAAATAATATTTTTATTAATATTGAAAAATTGAAATCAAATTTTTTAAATAAACTTACCCAGGGTCCATTTCGGTGTCGATACGCGTGACGCCAACATCTTCGCTGTAAACAAAAATCCGGGTGTTTCCACGATACCATTTTATGCTGTGAAGACCGACGCATTGTGGCAATTTTAGACGGCACGGTAGCTGAACTTCTGTACCAAGTTCAGCGCTCTTCTCGACTTTTAGCCACGGTTCACTGCTCCCTACAACATAATAACAATTTTCCTCAATTATTCTCCTAAGTTGCGATATTCTTTTTTATTTCTATTTGTTTTCTAATGTTTTGCAATACATTCTCAATTTCAGTGAATTTTTATTGTTACGCTCTGTATAAGATAGAAAAAAAATTTTTTCTTTTTCGTAAAAGTAAATTATGAATAATTACAATTCGTAGCCTAGTGGTACTTTACCTGACCGTGTGCACAACGGGTCCAGGGTTCAATTCTTCCCAGAGGTAATTTTCTTAAAATCAGTTTTTACTCTTTTATTTAGTTATTTTTTATTTGGAATTTATTGTAAATTTTTGCAAATATAAATTAACGTATTTGATTTAAAATAATTAATAATAGTAATAATAATAATTAACAATAATAATAATAATAATAATAATAATAATAATAATAACTTATTTGTAAATCGTAAAAAAATAACAATAAATTATTCAGTATTTTTGTTCATTTAATGAGAAAAAAGTTTCGTTTCCTATCTTGACACTATTTGGCAAAGCGTAAATATAAAATTGGCCTTAAAACAAAATTTTTCTCTATAAAATATGTATACTCGTCAATATTTACAATTCAACTCTTGATGTATGAAAAGCAGATATATTCAAGATAAATTGAAATATTGTTATTACTTTAGAGAAAATTACAAATTTCGTGTGTATATATATAGTACAATATCGACTGATTGCTAAACGATTTCATTTATTTCACAATAAATTGGTTTCGTATAAATGTATTTTTCGCGTGGTATTAAAACTTTATCGGAGTATAGTCTGCAAAAAAAAGGAGGAAGACCCCGAAGAGAAAAATATTCAAAAATGAAATATTTCTATCTACTAGATTGGTTGCAGTTACATTTAATTAAAATTGATAGCAGAGGCTGAAGTTAAATAGATTGAAACTGACTCGTTAAAAATTGTAAGCATATTCGATACTTTTATTATTATATCCATTTTGTTATCTTGTTTATTTTTATAAAAGTTAATTATTATTTTTTCTATTAAAAAAAAAAATTAATTCTATAAAAAAAGAGAACTGCGAATGTTCTTAAAATAATACATTTTAAAAAAAGAATAAAAGCAGTATAATATTAATTTTCCATCAGAATATTATATTTATGTGATGTAAATTTTTTTTTCTCTACTTTGAACAACAATATTGAGTGATTTTTATTATTTTGTTCATAAAAGAGGAAAAAAGAGTCGATTTAGATTCAAACAAATATAATATTGGGTTTGGGGAAAAAAAAAACGTTAATACAGTTATTTTGGTATGACGCATATTTAAAACAGCGATTTTTGTCTATTTGAGACATGGTTGACAATAAAATTCAAAGAGTTTTCCAAAAGTACGTCACATGCCATTACGCAACAATATCGTGACAGGTAATCCGTATCGAATTCCATTTCGGTATCAGCTACGCGGGATAGGCACTGAACGTGATATTTACTACAGCATCCCGACCCACAAACTTCAACGAGCTTTTATATCGCATGCGTTCCGACAGATAAACAGAAATAGAAGAATGGAAATCGATAGGCGTTATTTTGTTCTATATGTGTCCGTGGAAAAAAATAAAAATTGTGACTCTACATTTTCAATATTTTTCGCATATTTTCGTGCAAGTTCAATTGGCACTTACACCTTCGCTCCCTTCATAATAAAAAAAAAATGGAAGAAAGAAACGTTTGTTTAGAAATTATATTCATCAAAACCATCAATTTTGTGCAAAAAAGAAATATTCAATTTGTATTTTCTGTTTTTGTTAGTTATTAAATTTTTTTCAACAAAAAGAAAAGATGAAAATAAATTTCAAAATGTTTCGAGTTGTTACTTCGAAATGAATTTTGAACAAAGTTACGAGAAATAATTCTAAATTTTTGAACGTTCGAATGAATGAAATTTATTTATCTTTCTTTCAAATTAAATTTTTGTTACAATAATTTTGCGTCACTATGAAACAAAAATAATATTTAATTGCAACTACAACTAGAAATTCAGAAGTAAATTTTCTCTGAAAATAATAAAATATGCATAAAAATTCGAGGAGGTGGTTTCAACGTACAAAAACAGTAAATTTATTTTTTACATTTTTTCACATAAGTTAAATTTTAATTGAATTTAAGTTAATGTAAATTTAATTAAACTAAAAGCAATCAGAATCTAATATTTAATCAACTGGAATAATTAATGTTATATTAAAACTGATGTAAATTTAAATGAATTAAGATTGACATACATTTAATTCAATTAAAAATTACATAAATTAAATTAAACAAAAATCAATGTAAATTAAATTAGTTAAATTTAATTCAATTAAAATTAATGCAAAATTGCAAATTTAATTAAATTTAATTAAAATGAGTTATGATTTTTAATCTTAAAACTAATACTAATTTTCCACAAGATAAAATTAACCGTAACGTTAATAAACATCTAAAACTTTAATCAAATTGGGTTTATAGCAAAATTGTTTCCCTTTTTTTTATTTGAAGAAAAAAGAAATTTTCTCATTAAATGCAACGTGAAATTTAATTCATTTATTCACTTTTTTCCCTTTTCTCAACATAAAGTATTTCAAGTTGAATTCTCCTTGCAATTAATCGAAAAATCACTGTTGTTAGGATAAAATACAAAAGTGAGGGAGAAAAGTTTCTAACAAGAGAAAAATAAAAGAAAAACAAAAGAAAATATTGAAATTATTTTCAAGATAAATATTTTAGAAGCTTCTTTGAGATTGTAATAAATTATGTAGAAAAAATAGTAAATATGTATTCTTAATATTCTTAATTTCTCAAACTTAATGATTTACATTTATTCTATTGATTCATTGCAATATATTTATTATATTTCATTATTTTATTAAATAATATAAAAGATTAAATAAAATAAATGAATTAATAATATTTTAAATACTGTTAATAATTAATTAATAAATAAACGCGCGGCTAACTTCTTGCGGCCTTTATTAAATAAAATTAGCAATTTTAAAAATAATAGAATTTAAAGTTTTCTAATTTAAATTTTTGTTGAAAATACTAAAAAAATTCAATTTTAGAAAAATTACAAATAATTGCAGAAATTCAATTACAGTCAACTCTCGATAAGACAAAGCGCGATGACTCAAATTTCTTGGCAAGAAAAAGTAATTCTTGGGTTCCATTCATTCCCTTTACGCATTATTAACATTTGATAACTCAAACTTTTCGATAACTCAAAGAATTTTCGGTCTCCCTTCGAGTTTGACTTATCAAGAGTTGACTGTATTTTCAAAAAAAAAAAAAAAATTCAACTATGTTCAAAATTTGAAAAAAATTCTTGTAAAAATCCCAATTATCTTTATAAATAACAAAATTCTTCTCCAAAGTAAAATTCTTTTTATAAATGTCAAAAAAATTCATGTCCTAATTTCAATTATTTTCAAAAATAAAATGCATTTTTCTAATTTCAATGATTTTCAATATCTACTATTTTAATAAAATTTTCCAAAAAGAATTCAATTATTTAAAAAAATTTTTAATAAAATTGTATGCAAACATTTAATTATTTTCAGAAATAATAAAAATTTCACAAGAATTCAATTATTTTCATAAATAATAAAATTTTTTTAATGAATTCAATTATTTTTATAAAAAATAATTTGAAATTCTAGAAAATAATAAATGAATTAAAATGTTGAAAATAATTTTGATGAAGTTACAGTAACAATATTCTTATTATATAAAACAATGATTTTATCTCTCGGTCATTTTTAATTATCAGAAAACATGAAGAAATTGATTACTCCGAGTCTTCGACCCGGAGCAATCGATATCTTCATGTTTTATAACAAATACTTTTATAAGTTGTTTAATTTAAAAAGGTTTTAATTTGAAATTTTTATATGTCTTAATTCCTGTGGAAAAAGTTAATAAATGAAAGAATGAAAGAACATTCAAATTATTATAGTTAATTAATATAGTTAATATTATAAATTAATAATTCACAGAAAATAAAGAATATTATTTTAACACCGAATAACATGCAACAAATTGTGGCGCTACGTTTTATTATTATATTAATAACTATAAATAATATATTAATTAATAACATACTGTTATCATCAACAAAATAATAATCATTAATAAAACTAATTTAATTTCTGATAAATTATATTCTAGATTGAAAATTACATTTTCACGATTAGAATCTAGAATTATTATTTGGTCCGGTAAATAAATTCGAGAGAAATTTCTATATTCGCAAACTTGGATAAATATTGACGAAACATATTTAGGCAATCTTTAATCTTGACAATTTTCCCCACTAGTAACTAATGATATAATATATTTTCTCTCTTTAGTGTATCATTTCATTAAAGTTTGTACCATCCCTCTGAGAAGCAAGTTTTCCGTTTTGGTTATAAGTATGCTCAGCAGCTTCGCAGTTAAAGTAGAGATAAGCTAGGTATTATGAGGCAAGGCCTTAATAACGTCAAGTGAAGTATGTGCGATACAAGTAAAACCCCCCTCACACCCCCTTCTCATCTCCTTTCCCAATCTCAATAATCGTTCACTATATAAATAAGATTACTCGTATAGATATATATTATACAATTTAACGTCAAAACTCGTACACAAAATGTCATTCAAAGAGGAAATTGATTTAGTTTCAAGTTTCATTCAAGTTATTTTAAAGTAAACAAACAGAAAATAAAACTTACATTTTGGATAAATTTTATTACTTATTCTTCTATCTTTCTTTATCTTTCTCTTTTTCTCCATCTCTCTCACTCTTTTTTTTCTCTCTCTCCCTCACTCCAAGGGCGAAATATCACTGAAAGTTGTGGGCAGAAAAGTTGCACAATTATGTATACGGGTGATTTAATTCTTCGCCTCTAGAGAGGGTTAGGGGAAAAGAAAAATAAAACAAAAGGAGGAGAGAGCGAGAGAGGGTGAAAAAAAAAGAAAGAAATATTGCATCATGGGACGACTCGACGG